TACACTGCTAAATTAGGGACGGCTAGAGCAGATAGCCCTCGTGTAGCTTTGCGCGAAGTAAAAAAAAAAGAAAAAGAAAAGACAATCTTACCTCTGTGTCACTGGGGAGTATTTGGTGTGAAAAAATAATTTTTCCTTTAAATTTTTGTGGTAGTTTTGTCTCTTGGTAAAATATAATTCCAGTAATGTTTTCAGACCATTTTTTAGTTCGTTAATTTACGCACATCATAAATAATAAATTAAACTTCCAAAGTAAGAACAAATTAAAACTTTTAAATCTTACGATATATAAACAAACGATATATATCAGTGTTCTAATAAGGACGAATATTTTATGGGCATACTTCTGTACGCTATATGCACATTCCGGGCTGGAAGAATATATATATAGAGAGAGTATTCGATAGTTTGAAGAACAGCAGGTTTGTTTGTTTTGGGTCATGCGCAAAGCTACTCAAATGATATCTGCACTAACCGTTCCTAATTTTATAGTAATAAACAAGAAGGAAGGTAGCTAATCAACAGCACCCACTGCCAACTCTTGGGCTACTCTCATATGACCGAATAGTGTGATTTGACTGTTACCCTTATAACGCACCCACGGCCCAAACTGCAGAGCGTGATTCCAACATTTTTCTTGCTGTAAGCGGAAGCAAACAATGGATTCGCAGTTCTACAGTCTTGCATGCTAACTACTGGACCACGCTCGGTTCAGAATTATAATTGTGGAACTTTTGTCTTATGTAAGTTTCATATGTTTATGATTCATGATGTTTATCGCATGGTTTATAGAAAATTGTAGCCATGCTAGATTACACGTGTGCTACCCAGGGTCATTTTTAGATATATATCTCAGCAAGAGCTATAAAACTGTAATAAAAATTGGTTTGTTAATTAAGAATAGGCAAGTTTTTAACATTTTTAAATTTATTTTCCTATCGAGGGGTCGCTGTTGGATGGGAGAATTTGGCGCCGGTAAGTAGAAAGAAAGGTCCATTAAGTATCCAACCAACTGGCAGAGATTTAATTATATTATACTATCCCTCATGCGCCTCCGTAGTATATGTTCAACATCTAATGAAAAGTAGATATTTTTATGGCGTAATTAAGGCTAATGTAAATAATTCTTTTCAAATTATTTATATGCCCTTTAAGCTAATTCTAAGCTCAAGATAAGTAAGTACTTTAAGCAAGACAGACAAGGGAAATAATTCTGTTTGAATGTGTATTTGAAAATTTTACATTTAAGCGATAATTTTAAGCTATAGAGTCGATTTATTCCTTAAAAACTGGTAGAAGAAATAAACAAATTTAAAACTATAGTTACTCGGAACTTAAGAAGATTTGAAATAAAAATTAAAGGGATATTTTTTTTTCAAATCATGAAAACTGATATATAATTTGAACAGTTTTTAAATTTGACTAGTTTGACTTTAGAAACGTTATTTCTAATTAACGTATTTTGAAAATTCAATACTGTGAATTATAAATATAAATAAATATATGTATCAGAAATATTAGATAATTAGATGAAACTTTATACCAAGAGCCATGACTTGAAATTTTGTATTGGCAACTATCGGAGTTCAATAATAACTCCTGAGTATCATGGTTCGAACCCATACTGAAAGTCAAAGGCGTGCACAAGGGAAGAAAGCAGAGGGCCAGACCCTCCAATAGCTATGCATATGGATATGATTACTGTGATAAATGTAATGATATTCATTTCTATGTATTATGGTGCACATGCATGTTTTGATATGGCTGATATGTATATATGTGTGTATATTTAATGTGCTCCTCCTTCACTAATAGCAGACAAATTTAAATTCCTGCGCACAGCCCTACTGAAAATACAATGATTTATCTACCGAACGTTTGATCTTAACTCCTGATCATCATGGTTCGAACCGTTAACGATAATTATAACGGTTTTAAATGTTGCTTCCAAGTATTGGAGTTTCAGCGGTACTTAAATCTTTTATGACATAAAAAAAATATTGTTAATATCATGGTTTGAAAAATTAATTCCAAATACCTTGGTGCGTGTCTTTGCCATGAAATCGGTATCTTGGATTGCGGCTTAAACTGTCATACTCAAGAATCTTAGAACTAAAGCTAAAGACAATGATCGTAGTTTTAAACGATTTCACCATAGGTGATGAAAACAAAAGTTACTCCGAAGTAACAAAATGAAAAAAAAATAATTGCAAGTAATGGTGTTTCCAAACTGTATTACCAAATATGGATATATGAAACATTATCAAGAAGTATCATGGTTTAAAACGTTACTCCAAGTTATCATGAATTTATTACATTGTTAAAGGTTTGGTTTGAATTTCACGCAAAGCTAAACGAGGGCTATCTGCGCTAGACATCCCGGTGTAAGACTAGAGGGAAGGCAGCTCGTCATCCCAACTCACCACCAACTCTTGGGTTACTCTTTTACCAACAAATAGTCACATTACAACGTCCCCACGGCTGAAAGGGCTAGCATGTTTGGTGTGACGGGGATTCGAACCCGCGACCCGCGCCCTAACCATCCGGCCATATTGTTAAATGAAACAACGATGTGAAATATTGTTACTTAAAACGTTAATACTTATTATTATTTTTTTTTTTTTCTACGAAAGACATTCTAGATCATATTCCATAAATAGAGTTTAATGACCCACAAGTGGAACATTTACGTCCTAAAAGAAGTTGTCTGGCTATAGTTTCATCGCATTCTTCCAAATTATACTACATACGATTTATGACAAAACGGTTATTTTTGTCTCTTTTAATTCCTCAGAGAGAGTGTTTCTTTTTTTAAAATTTTAAGCTTCCCATTAAAGTATCTCGATAAAACTATTCAATAACCTGATAAACTCTTACTTGGCCTAAATGTATTAGTTTTTAACTAGTCTTTTAAGACTTTTTTCAATGCTGACTGGTTGTATATATAGTTTGTTAGGGCCGGATGTGGCTTAGTTGTTAATTAGCATACTATGGCTATGAATCCAATAATTCGTGACCCGATGCCACAAAATGCTCTCCGCACTTTGAGGTGCGTGTGTACGATAACAGTAATGGTAAAAAATTACCATTTAGTGAGCAAGAGTAACCCAAGAATTGGCGGTAAGTGCTGTTAACTAACTGCCCTATTTCAATTCAAATTAGGGACGACTATGCGCAAGTGACTCTTTACGTAGCTTTTTGCGAAAATTCTGAACCAAACAAGCGATTTAATTTGCTTATTACATTCAATAATCTTGAACAAAATGATATTCGAATGTGTTCCATTTGTTTACAACCAGCGTGTGTTAATCAGCACGTGCTTTTTTTCATTCTTTAGTCCCAACAATAGAACAGCCTTGTTCAAATACAAAAGGAGACAATAGTCGTTTTTGAAAAAAAAGGGTTTTTTATCTGTTTTCAAATTGTTATATTAACATTGTTTGACTCTTTACAAAATAGATGATTACATGTATAAAGTCTGATTTAGAGGGGCAAATAAAATCTTGAATTGGCAGCGTGCCAAATAGTTACAGATAATTTCGGTTGTCATGAGAAGTTTTTTGTTAATTTTTGAGTACAATACTATACTTCACATGTTTGTTTTCTAGTGTAGCCGGTTTTTTCTTTTCTTTACCTACTTAAAGCAAAACAGCTACGTCTTAAAATATGATTTGTACAGCCTAACGCCCTGAAGAAAAATATAGTTTTATAGACACTTAATGTATACTGATACTGGCGATACCTAACGAAACGTGCTATTTGATACAAAGGTATATAGATATAGATATATTTGAAATATTCTTATAACACTGAAAAAGGAGAACATTAAACTAAAAATTAATTAACATTGAATGTATTTGAATTGAATCTGATAAAACACTGACCGTATATAGGCAAAATATAGCGTAATATTATTTATAGTCAAATTATTAATCAAACTTTTTTCTTTAAAGAAACACCTTGTCCCTAAATCATCATCGTACGAGGGTACAAATGTTCAAAGGTATTTGTTTTTGGATAATTTTACAGAATTATCCACGACAGTGGATTCACGCAGCAAGATTTCCTACAGTATAAGCCCGTGGTGTACAGCAATACTATTCAGTCAATTGTTGCTATACTCCGAGCTATGCCTAATCTCGGAATAAACTTCGGGAACAACGAGAGAGAGGTAAGTGGTGACACTTCTTTTTTGGGGGTTGGTGGGTGTTATATTTTATTTTACAGATTACATGACGTTCAATTTAAAATATATATATATGAAACGAAAGCCATAATATAGATTTAATGAAAGAGATGAACTGAAGAAAGAGCATTGTAAATGTTATTGTTATTTTGCATACAGGACGCTTGTTGTTGTTGTTTTTATTACAATTCTGTAATTTTTATTACGATTTTACGATAACCCTACAAATCGCTTCGCATGTCATTCTCTAAGAATAAGAATAAAAGGTTCAAATCTTCGCACGTTTTTCCAGTAGTTGGATTCGATTTTCTAATAAAAAAAACAGGGAGGTTCACATATTTGTCACATTTCCTGCATTTTCAAACCATTATCCAAGGAAAAAAGTAGATATTGGTCTAAGCATTTGACGATTTTAAGCTAGTTACTGTTTTTTTATATAAAAAATAGGTAACTTAAGTTGATAAGAAGTGTTTTACTAAGGTTGTTAGGGAGTAAATGTTTTAACTCAGTTGGCCAAGCACTTGCTTGTCGTGAGAAAGGTCCCGGATTCGATCTCATGTAGGAACCATATTAAAGTCGCGAATCACAAGAAAAGTGATAAATATTTGTTTGTGGTGTGTGAGGGATGTGGTAGTTTAAGGCTGTTAAAAGTGTCTCATCTGGAGTTGCTAGTGGGTTAGCTTAACTGGTAACACTACTTTCAGGAAGTGTTGAAGTAGAAGAGCACTCTCTTGGAGCGCGAGAGATGAAATGTTGGATTATCAAAAAAACAGTCTTATAACATCCAAAATGGGGTGGAGGGATCCAAATGTTTAAAAACCTTCTCTAAAAACAAGAGCCCCCAGTGGCACAGCGGTATGTCTGCGGACTTACAACGCTAGAATCCTGGTTTCGATACCCGTGGTTGGCAGAGCACAGATAGCCCATTGTGTAGCTTTGTGCTTAATTACAAAACAAACAAACTAAAAACAAGAATAAATAGTTTTCAAAATTTTAGATGTTGAAATGTCTGTATAGGTGATATGAAACTTTTTTTTTGTCTACGAGTTAGTCCACGTTTTTGTCAAGGCCAGATTTACATATTCAAGAAGAAAAATCAAATTATTCGATTCGTTGTCTTCTTTTGTTCAAAGTGCTGGTTAGTTGCATTGTTTACATTTATATTTTTAATTCGAAGAGCATTCAAGAACTCTTTAAAAGGTTTGGTCATGATTTTTTATTACCATTTCTCACTTTGTACTAAGACTTCTATTACTGATTGGTAATGTCTAACATTTAGAGGGAAACAATATCGCGATGCTCGAAGTTCAAAAGCATATTTCCAGACTAAACAACAACAAAAGGAAATATGAAGTTCAAGAGAAAGAGATGTTGTTGTTTTTTAATTTATAGCAGCTAACGCCAGCAGAATGAACGCAGGACAAGGTTTTACTCGCTTGAAAATCGATTGTGGGTTGTACTGGAACATTCGTGTTTCAGCGGCGGGTTGTCGTCAGTTGCAGTTTTGTACGGCACTGGTTGGATAATAAAGTACATGGCATCATCTTTTCACGGCTACAGAGGAGAAAAACAAGGATAGCAGCTACTGTGCATGGAAATAGTCCATTGTTAATAATTTATTCCACTGCATATCTCTGTGACTTGAGCAGTCACATAAGGAAAATATTACATGCTGAGCGTGAGGAGTAGAACAACGTAACTTGCACTAGAATTGTAAGATGTTTAGAATTATTCGATATATTGAAAGTATATTTATATAATAACGCTCTTATAAATTTACTTTCGAGTAATAGTAATAATAATAATAATATGATTGAATGCTAAAACAAACTTAAAATTCAATTGCAACTCTCATAACAATTACCGCAACCTCTTTGCATCGTACAAAGCCTAACTGTTCGACTAATAACAGTTATGTTGATTGTTTTGAGTTTCGCGCAAAGCTACACGAGGGCTATCTGCGCTAGCCGTCCCTAATTTAGCAGTGTAAGACTAGAGGGAAGACAGCTAGTCATCACCACCCATCGCCAACTCTTGGGCTACTCTTTTACCAACGAATAGTGGGATTGACCGTGACATTATAACGCCCCCACGGCTGAAAGGGCGAGCATGTTTGGTGGGGCGGGGATTCGAACCCGTGACTAGCAGATTGCGAGTCGAGTGCCCTAACCACCTGGCCATGCCGGGCCTTACCGTTATGTACTTAGCTTGACAGGCTGTTGTTTTATTTAGAAAGTTTTCCCCAAAGGAATATTTACAATTAATATATTATTAAAGAAAATATTTTGTAAATACAACTTTGTACAAAACGGATGATTTTCAAGTAATTATCATACTGTTGTTGTTTTTTTATCACTATGAAGTACCTTGAAATAATTATCTAAGCCCGGGGTCGAACATACCCACTCTTTCAGCCATGGGAACCTTATAATGTGATGGTCAATCCCATTATTCTATGGGAAAGAGTATCCTAAGAGTTGGCGGCGAGTTTTTCATATGGTTAGCAGTTCTAAGTTAGAGAGGGCGGCCTTAATAGCTTTGCCATCAAGATAGAAAGAAACATGTAAAATAAGAATAATATGTCTGGTGAGTCTTAAGTCGCTTTCATCCTACTAATTGCCGTTGACGTCACTACATTCTACGAAAGACTTCACCTGGTCAAAAGTACGGTTTTAACCTCCGATATATGTGCTTTCGAGTACTCTGAAAGAAGTAATGTTTTCGTAAAAGAGTAGGAATCTGTTTGTTTGTTTCAGAATTACGCGCAAAACTGCACAAAGGTCTACCTGCGTACAAACTCATAAGGAAGGCAATTATTCAACAGCACCCACCGCCAACTCTTATCTAATCGAATAGTAGGAAATTACATCATTCTTTTACCGCACCCATAGCCCCAATGTTCGAAGAGAGCTTTTGCGGCAATGGGTCGCGAACCTTGAATCCCTGGATTCACAGTCCGATGAGTTAATTAATGTGCCACAATATCACAAAAACATGGTTAAATATATAGAGTTTTACTGTCAAAAAAAAAAAAAAATCAAGAAACTCAATTATTAAGTGTGTAATATATGCCATTCTAACACGAAATAACATTGCATTTGCTGAAACTAAAAAAAAAAAAAAATTCAAATTTTGTAAACGCAACGCTTATTAATAAGCAAAATTTTAATTATATTCCAACATAAGTTTGGATACGTTTTCTGTTCACTATATTTGAGGCTGATGTTTATACTGCTTGCATATAGATTGTATTGTGTTTTGTTCTGTTAGACGAGAATTATTGATCCAACAGTCTCTCTCCAAAAAAATCTAGAGTAACCATTGGAAACCACTTTGGTATTTGAATGTAGGAAATTTGGGCATTCATAAATACCCCCACCCCAGTGGCACAGCGGTATGTCTGCGGACTTACAACGCTAGAATCCGGGTTTCGATACCCGTGGTGGGCAGATCACAGATAACCCATTGTATAGCTTTGTGCTTAATTACAAACAAACAAGCATTCATAAATCATTGAAAATGTGGCGCCCCTGTCGGCGTAAATATGAAGTTCTCTATCTCGAAGGTAGTACGATAGAACTTCATTTAAAATGTTGAACTTTAAACACATCATTAAACAAATCATTACACATGTTCACGAGGAAATGATGAATATTACGGTTTTAAACACATCATTACACATGTTCACAAGGAAATGAAGAATATTACGGTTTTAAACACATCATTACACATGTTCACAAGGAAATGAAGAATATTACGGTTTTAAACACATCATTACACATGTTCACAAGGAAATGAAGAATATTACGGTTTAAAACACATCATTACACATGTTCACAAGGAAATGAAGAATATTATGGTTTTAAACACATCATTACACATGTTCACAAGGAAATGAAGAATATTACGGTTTTAAACACATCATTACACATGTTCACAAGGAAATGAAGAATATTACGGTTGAATTAATGCTAATATTATAATCTAGTTAATTAATTGACAAACAAAGTTTTCTATGAAAGTATTCGTTTGAGAAAAAAGAATTTCAGATGTAGCCTAATGGTTACCGTGCCGGACTGCATATCCGAATGTCCAAGGGACGCTTATAACTGTTCCATCATTTTCGATATTCCATTAAGATTAGCCGCATAGATAGCTAAAAACAGACTTTCCTCTTTTTTGGTCAGCAGCTCTAAATTAGGGATGGCTATATATGAATACTAGGGGTCTCAGACCTGGCACGTGTCGCATAAAGTGTCGTTCAGGTTTAAAAATATCAAATCACCCCTCACCCCCAAAAAAATATTATTCCCACAGAGAGTGGGAATAATATACATCAGTAAATATTTCTTTTTACAGTTTATAACTTTCATAAGAATAAACATATCCCAATATGTTATCTGATTTAGTGTAGAAATTCCTTTATTCTACTATTGAATAAACAAAATGAAGCGAAAAAAGATTGGGTGGAGATTTTATACAAGCTTTCTAATATTTTTATAAACAATATGAGCACTCGATTTGAATTTCGCGCAAAGCTACACGAGGGTTATCTGAACAAGCTCTACTTAATTTAGCAGTGAAAAACTTTTGCGCTATTCTTCTAGCGACGAAAGATATGATTGGCCGTCATATTATTACGTCCCCACGACTGAAAGGGCGAGCACGTTTGGTGGGACGGGGATTCGAACCCGCGACCCGCAGATTGCGAGTCAAGCGCTCGAACCACCAGGCCATGCTGGCGTTTATAATGGAAAAAATGATACTGAAATGTTGCTGTAGTTTATTTCCATTCTTGATCTTTAAAGGAAAAATATTAAATCAAGTTTTATTACAAGTATAAATACTTTTCCTGTTTAACTTACTTGATGATTTTTCAAATTAAGTTAGTTTATAACAGCTACGTAAAAGTAACTAAATTTGTGATTTTATTGTTATATTTCTATACTATACTATACTGTAAGACTTCAGTATACAAATCAATGCTATTCTTTTATAGAAAACATGTTTTTACTTCAATAACTCAGTTCACTATATTAATTTTAATTAACGATTCACAAAACGTTAACTTGGTAGCTTGGTTACGGTGTAAGTGGAACAGTCCAAATATACTGCTGACATTTTCAACCATACGATTTTAGAGGGGGCTAGTATCGTATTTCAGGACAGAGATGTGTGCATTCTCTTTTCCAGTCTGGAAAATATCACTCGCTGCTCACCTGAGTCAGTCTTGAAGCAATTGTTTATTACAAGTAGATGAGTAGGACGGTGGTTAGGCCCTGGCGTGACTAATCTATCACTGTGATGCACGTCGACATATCAACACGAGTGAGTGCAGCGTGTGCTTGCATGCAAAGTATGGGTTGGAACCATTATTTAAAAACTGTATCATCCACAGCTCCCCAGTTCACGAGATTACAGCTGATGTAGCCTATGATCCATCAGGTGAAAGGACTTTGATCCATAAGTAATACCACGAATTGCTAGTCCCGCCATGTTTTGTGTTAATCCACAAGTTTCGCACTTTTCCTATTTTCAAGTGCATGTGTGATCTGGAACGTTCTGTGGTTCGAAAAGTCACCGTCGTTACTATCTAGTTTTCACTCAAATAACGGTTTTTGTCTGTTTTAATAGGAACATAATGGTTAAGGATTTTACAGGGCTATAATCGTGGCACACTGTAACGTAAACAATACAAAATAATAGTAATATACAAGATAGATAAAAATTGGGAATTTAAAAACCTGCAAATAGGGATTGTAAGAAAGTAAGGAAACATGGCTGGAGATAGTGTAGACATTATTCACTCAAACTACAAATCTCTGTAGGTTTTTAAATTCTCAATTTTTTATTCATCTTGTTTGCTGGCATTTTTATGCTCAACTATAGACAAAAAATTATTTGATATGGTACCTAACTTTATACACTGTAATGATAATAAACATAGCTAGTAGCTAGCTGATACGGTTCATGATGATTTATTGTAGCATTTGACTATTTGATCGCATTAGTTCGAGATATGAAATGTTAAACTGCAGCTGGAGATTGTCATGGACATTTGTTTGAGAATATAATGAGCATATATAGTTTCTTTGTAACTAAACTATCTATATATATTGCATAGCAATGGGCAAATACGTGCTTAGACTAAGACAGAACCCCCACTAAACGCGAAAAAATTTTACCAGTAGAAAAGCAGCCTTTTCAAGTAAAACATATACCTTTAAAATATCATTTTAAATAAACCTTCGTGTCTTTTACAGTAATTACTCTACGAATGTGTGTAATAAAATTTAATATTATATGTATTGATTTTTTATTTACTCCTTCACTTCATACATAATGTAGGGGTTGGCTCCCTAAAGATACCGATTGTATTGTGTACAAAGCATTGGGTATCTACATGTTACAGTCATCTAATGTTCATTTGTTATTGGCTGGTTATTCTTGTTTCATCCTGTACTTACGCTTTTTAAAAGAACGCCAGATATATGTAAAAAAACTAATTTCAAGGGGTAATAATAACATCGTTTACACTAGAATTATGATGTTTTTTTTATCTTATGTAAAATATAAAAGAAACAAATCAACTTTTCAATACCTCTACATCCTTCTCAGTACCTTATTTAGTATTCTACAAAAGGTTTGGGGGCAATATACCAAGCCTTTTTTGTTGTAGGCTGGCTGAGAAGAAGAAGAATTACAAACGGGCTGTTTTGAGCGGATTTTCTTTTCATCGTAAGTCTAAAAAGCGTGCTTTTTTGTGCATTTTTACATGTGTACTGCCTAAGCAGTCAATAGTAATGGTTTTAAAATGTTGTTTGAACTGAATCTTTACTGTTTAAGGTGCTTTTTTTTGCCCGAACGTTCTATTAGGGTTTTGTAAAATTCCTTGTGATCCCTATTATGAACCGCTGCCGTGGTTCATGATACAACAATTCTTGCTTATCTTATCTGTGTCTGTTTATTTGGTTTTGAGCTCTGCCCTCTAGATTTGACGAAAACGACTTGAAATTACACATAGTCTCTTGAGTCCCACAGAATATAAACGAAGAAAGCGCTTTCGAAAGAGTTGTGGCGCGGTTCCAAAAATTGTGGACTCTCTTGTTTGACTTTACCCAATTCAATGAAAACTGGTACTAACATGTAAAGAGACGATCGAAAGAGTAACTTAAATTTTGGAAACTGTCAACTTGGGGGTGCTCTGAGGGTTTACGGATTACACAACAATGTACACGGACACGTAAGGAATTGTAGAAAATAAACAGATTTGTTTAGATTTTTGTAACTTTAACATTGAAACCTCTAAATGGGGAATAAATGGAATTTGTCTGGCTCTCAGAGTTGACTGCTTGTAGAAAATAAACAGATTTGTTTAGAAGAGGTTTCAATGTGAAAGTTACAAAAATTTATTCCCCATTTTGGAATTTGTCTGGCTCTCAGAGTTGACTGCTTGTAGAAAATAAATAATTTGACAAATTGTCATTCAAAGCAAGACGTTGTTCTCTGTGAAATTATGCAGTTAATTAATTTACTAGAGACCTTTAAAGTGTGTTTTTACGGTGCTAAGCCTTAAACTTCAAAAAGAGTGTTCACTTGTTTTCAAACGTGCAAAAATAACAATGATTTAAGTAAATACTTCGTTTAATAATAATAAAAAATTGTGTGCAAAAATTTTGTTGGAGAAAAGAGCGTTCCTTCGCTGAACCTAAATTAAATTATTTTATCTGATATTATATTATTATAATTAGTTTACTTAATCATTTGAATAAAATACATGATGATTTTATATACTCCTTAAAATATTAAAATGGTCCATTTCTTTCATTGTATCACTTTTACAGCCTGTGATTTATTTTGTCGAGTTCAAAGCATGACACTTCTATCAAGCTGTAAAACACTTTACTCCTTTAGTTTGGAAAGTGTTAAGAAAAAAACAACTTAACGAATACATTAGTATGATGTTTTATAACTGAGTTGTTTAAACTTATAAAGCAAAACGAGGCTTTAAAAATGAGTTTGATATAATTTGAGCCCTAGAACAACCTCTAACGAACAACCACAAAACGTAGACCATAAAAAGTGTTCCAAATTTCTTCTGAAAACAAAACTATTGCGGCGAAAAATATCACATGGAGAGCAGAAATTAAGACTTTTTTTTCATCTTAAAATGGCGTGTTTTTTTTCTTCTTATTATTTTATTTTCATAGAATTCATGTTGAAAATAGAAAACTTTATAACATTTTTATTCATCGTCTTTTTATTCGCATCAAGAGTACACAGTTATTTTTCATATTCTTAAAATCATATTTTCCTGTAGTGTTTTTCAAATAAAACTGGGAATTTTAGTTTCCATAATGATGCGAGCAGTGTACTATTGTTATTTGTGATTTTAATCTTACGAGGAGGTTTGTGAAACAGGTATTTAACGACCCAAAAAAGAAAAAATTTCACGTTAGAAATGGAATTATATATTAATTTAGGTATTAAAAATGCTTAGGTTTAAGTTCTCTGACAGACTGTAAAGACTCCTTAAGATAATATTCGTTATTTATAGATATGCATGCATCAAGTTCGGAACATTTTGTATATTAATATTAGGTGGTGTTACGTATCTTTAAAGGAATCCCAGTAGGGTTTTATTGTATGAAGTTAGAATTATCTTTTTATTTTTCTTGTCTGAAAGGAGAATCGTTTAGAGTTTCTGAGAGATAAAGTGTGTTAGCTAATGACAAGTTTTTTTGTGTTTTGTTTTTCAAAGGATAAAATTCCTACAGCTATATTACACATTGTTTGATATATAATGCCGAAGTCGTCTTTTTTTTTAAGGTGACAAGTAGTTTTACATATTTATACGTTATTTAAAATGCTAACATTTGGCTATCAGGATGCACAAGTGGTGTGTTTATTTGTTCTCCCCCCCCCCCCAGGCCGACGCGAAGTTGGTTTTTGACGTAGTTACCCGGATGGAAGATACAGAACCGTTTCCCGAAGAACTGCTGTCTGCCATGACGCGCTTATGGCAGGACGCGGGCGTACAAGAATGTTTCTTTCGATCAAACGAGTATCAACTGAACGATAGCGCCAAATAGTGAGTATTTATCTGTCTGTTTCTCTGTCTATTTGCTTATTTATTTATGTGTAAAGTGATTTAAAATCGTAAATAGTGAGAGCATATTTTAAATTTAAAGATTGTGAAGGCTATATGGGAAAAGTTCTTGAGTAATAATTTAAGTTTGAAAACTTAGATTCAGAAAACCAAATATTTTATAGAATATGTGACGATTTAGCGTATCTTGAGTGATTACCTAACTAAACAGTATTGTTTACTCGATAACTTGTGTAAAGTTGAGACTTGAAAGAGAGCAATTTTTATTTGTCACAACTAATGGATCTGTGGGACTAGTATAAGTTACATGTTAAAAAATACCGCTGAAGTTGTGGAAAATAAAACAAAAAATTGACGTTAGGGATAAGTTAGTTCCTAATTAGAATCTATGATAAAGCATATAAATACATACATATATTATAAAATTCTGATTTTCACATTTTCTATTAAAACGTTTTGATGAAACAAATCAAATAATAGAAAACATTTACATGTAGTATATGCTGTGTAAAAGTTAATCAACCTTTGTATAATATATTTCAAAACAGACGTCATGTGATCAATTCCTGGCGGAACCGTACTTTCGAAATCTAGGATCGCCAAGGATGGTTGCCATGACAACCAGTTTCTCCTGGTTGCTCCAGGAGTGTAGGTTTTGCGATTCTGACGTTAAGTTGAAAGTTTTCTTTGGCAGACTTTAACAATTCTTGTACTTAGTTTTTATAGGGTTTTCGTGGTCATTGTTTCCTGTGAGTGCTCAAATATGCCTTTATATAATAACTGTTTTTTTTCTTATAACGATGCACGTGCTAAGTTATCTTCAGTTTAGTTGAATCAGTAGACTTCCAAACGATGTAAAAAAGAAATAATTATTATTTGTCAGCACCTGAATTTCGTACATCTTTATACGTAATATATGATCAAAAAACTGTGTAATACCATTGACACTAAAATGACTTCCATCTCCTATGGACATCTCATTGTCTAAATTATCCATTCGGATTGAAGCATTAGTATATTGAGACATTAGTATATTGAAGCATTAGTATACTGAGACATTAGAATGGACACACACAGACATACAATTAATATATAAATATATATAAAGTCAACTGTTTATTATGATAGCGTTTTGTATAGTTTTAACAATATAGATCCAGCTTTCTTTGACAACAGTTTTTTTACAATATAATGTTTATCGTTGCTGCTTTTTTAACTTCAGCCGAACTATATTTCTTGTAGACAATTTTACATTACATCCAGTTAGATATCAATAATATCAATTCGTATCAAGCAATATAACCTATGTCAAGGCTAGCCAAGGGCTGGAGAAACGTTAACCCAGATCAGGTGTATTTGAAACGTATATATATTTTGACAAATATTCTTTACTAAAACTATTTATTGTTGTTGGCTTAAGTAGTGTATCTTAAAAGTTGCTTGAGTTCCTGATCTGAAAGCTTGGGATTTATATTTAATTTCTATAAAGTTGGCGTAACGTCCTTCAACTGACTGATTGGATTGTCTGAGTTGTAAGTTTAGAGGTTTATATTTAACATTAATCATGTAGGTGTATGACTCTTCAACTAACTGATTGGATTGTCTGAGTTGTAAGTTTAGGAGTTTATATTTAACATTAATCATGTAAGCGCAAGACTCTTCAACTGACTGATTGGATTGTGTGAGTTGTAAGTTTAGAGATTTATATTTAACATTAATCATGTAGGTGTATGACTCTTCAACTGACTGATTGGATTGTCTGAGTTGTAAGTTTAGGAGTTTATATTCAACATTAATCATGTAGGCGCAAGACTCTTCAACTGACTGATTGGATTGTCTGAGTTGTAAGTTTACGAGTTTATATTTAACATTAATCATGTAGGCGCAAGACTCTTCAACTGACTGATTGAATTGTCTGAGTTGTAAGTTTAGGAGTTTATATTTAACATTAATCATGTAGGCGTATGACTCTTCAACTGATTGATTTTCTAGTTTTCCTGAGGAAACTCTCCACGTGCCAGACGAAATCAATAAAGATCCCCATTAACAAGTATGGTTCCGTGGCATGCTTCAAACAGCAATGTGCTCCAAAACAGACAAACACATGGGTGTAAATAAACTAGCTGTATTTGGTTTCCATAGTGACCTATCCAATTCGGTAGAGGCCTCATTGCAATTTAGCAATTGTTGCTATAGTAACTGGCTATGAAGGAGATGTTGAACCTTAGGATCAATGGACCAAAAATAACCGCACAATATTTATGATTAATGTTATTACGTTCAAGCTAGTATCGTTGTCACAACTACTTATTAACAATATACTGAAGTAACATAAATTTGGAATAATTGTTAAATATACTTTCTTTCTTACCAAATACGCATTTTTTGGTGTTAATTCTTTATAATATTATTGTATAGAAATGAAGGTAATATCGTGCTGACTTAAGATACATATTCTTTTCATTTTGATAAATCCTAATATATTTTTGTATTAGTTAAACCAGGGGTTCTTTATTGCGACGATGATAAAATAAAGAATCTTACTGTTGGAGATAAATCACCTTAAAAAACTTGAGTTGTTATTTTATATTTTCTTCGCGACTTTACGAGCAAACACACTTTGTCAAGTTAGAAATAAGCCTGTCGGTTAATGACAAGCTTCTATCGGGATATTTTAAAAGGATACAATATACCAGAACAGAATGTAACGTGAGAAAGAAACACGAGAGTTAAACAATATAGTAGTGACAATATAACAAAACTAAAAAAATAACTGCAACGAGCTATTGATTGAAAATAAGAAAATAAAAAGTGATTAAAGATATAAAAACTAGCTGATAAGAACAAGTTTAAAAAAAACTTAGAAAAATATAACGTTAAAAAATATTTTTAAAATGATAAAAAGTTACTTGTTCGTTACTACCAAAAGAATGTAAACAACCTAACTTGAAAATTAATAATTTTTTTATTATGATTCTTTGATTGTTGTTGGAGTCGACATATCGTAGGATAAGAAATATAAGAAGTAATTAAATTATTAGTCAGTGTTATGTATCAATATAGTTGAAGTATAAAGAGTATGTATATATATATAGAATAAAATTATTATTGTGTATTAATGTAGTTGATGTATAAGAAGTAATTAAATTATTAGACAGTATTGTGTATTAATATAGTTGAAGTATAAAGAGTATGTATATATATATATAGAATAAAATTATTATTGTGTATTAATGTAGTTGATGTATAAGAAGTAATTAAATTATTAGACAGTATTGTGTATTAATATAGTTGAAGTATAAAGAGTATGCATATATACAATTAAATTATTAATGTGTATTAATGTAGTTGATGTATAAGAAGTAATTAAATTATTAGAAAACTTCGAGTGCTGAAGAAATAAAATTCATGTGTGTTGTGTGGTTAGAATGTTTTCAAAAATAGTGTATGTGTTTTTTTAAATACACGAAACACGTGGGTTTTGTCAAGAATGGAAGACTGTGTTATTTTATGGTCAGCTATAGTGCGGTTATAGAGTTAAAAGACAAATACCGAGAAAAAAAAAGGCGTGCTACTCAGCAAGCTAAAATTCCAGCTGGTCTAATTTTAACCCGGTCTATAACACGTGGTGTAGACCAGTTCGACTGTGGGTATCACTCTATCAATTCTCTTGTGGATTTGACATTAGTTTGGAATTTGGGCCAGCGTAATTGTGCAGAACACTAACAGAATGAATAAAGCTATTAGCGTTCGTGAGGATTTTAAATACCCGAACTGGTAAATCCTAGGAGTCTTCTTTTTCATCGTCAGATTTCAATTATTTCTCACCGCATGTATAATTTTTCTGTACTGCTAATTGAAACCACTCTTTTAAGAACAGGGCATAAACAGGAATACATCTGTTAGTGTGATATTAAGTGGTCTGAGCTTGTATCACCGACTCATTCCCGCCTTATAAAAGTTACAAATCAACAACACGTTTTTTATAATGTTTTAAGAGATTATAGTACAGATTGGAAAGTTTCTAGGTTCTTAGAAACTATTACTGTATTATAAGCTTTCATAAGTCATCTGAGTTCTGATAAACGTAAGATTAAGTTCGAATGAATTGAAACTTGGTTGCAACTACGGTAATAGGTTTCCTTATAATAAGTAAACTTTGAAGTAAAAGCTTATAGCAACGGTGACGCAGGTAATGTTTTCACCCTTGTGTGTTTGTGTTTGTCAGCAAGATTTCTCGAAAACGGCTGAATAGATTTGGACGAAAGTTGGCATACATTTGGACTATGACCCAATTAGAACTTAGCTTTTGGAGGGTCAAGGCCACAAAAATCTCTGTCTGTTAACATGGGGACCGATTTTTCACACTATTTTTGCTCAATAACCCAGTCAAAAATGATCGGATTTTGATGAAACAAACGAAGGACATACGGACACATTTTCGTATTTTTTGAGGGCTGAATATAATCAACGCTACCTGGCGGAGGTATGTGCTCTATTGAGTGTCCCTCTAGCTCAAGCTTAAGTTAACGTGAGTCTGGGCTATATAAGCTCGTAATTAAGTACTCTTCACTTTATTTAAAACAACTGAATTAATCCCATTTTAAACAAAAAGTCGTTTTATACAGGCAGTTAACTATTATCAGGTTCTACAGTTTTTTCCTAGCGTTGATCCAGAGTTGATTCAGTTTAATGGATTAGAGAGTTTCTATATACGTATGTGTGTGTTGTAATCAGAGTTGATGCATTTTAATGGATTATAGAGAAGTTTGTAAAGGAGGTTAAGTATTATCAGTTCTACAGTTTTTACCCTAATGTTGAGTATGTGTATGTCTATATACATATGTGTGTGTGTTTTTTGTGTGTTGTAGTCGGATTTGATAATACTTAACCTCCTTTACAAACTTCTCTCTAATCCAATAAAATGCATCAACTCTGACTACAACACACACATATGTATATAGACATACACATACTCAACATTAGGGTAAAAACTGTAGAACTGATAATACTTAACCTCCTTTACAAACTTCTCTCTAATCCATTAAAATGCATCAGTTCTACAGTTTTTACCCTAATGTTGAGTATGTGTATGTGTTTTTTGTGTGTTGTAGTCAGAGTTGATGCATTCTAATGGATTAGAGAGAAGTTTGTAAAGGAGGTTAAGTATCATAAGTTCTACAGTTTTTACCCTAATGTTGAGTATGTGTATGTCTATATATGTGTTTTGTGTGTGTTTTAGTCAGAGTTAATCCATTTTAATTGATTAAAGATAATTTTGTAAAGGAGGTTAAGTGTTATCACTTCTACAGTTTTTACCCTAATGTTGAGTACGCGTGTGTATATATATATATATGTGTGTGTGTGTCTGTCTGTCTGTCTGTTTGTGTGTTTTAGTCAGAGTTGATCCATTTTAATGGATTAGAGAGAAGTTTGTAAAGGAGGTTAAGTATCATCAGTTCTACAGTTTTTACCCTAATGTTGAGTATGTGTATGTCTATATATGTGTGTGTGTCTGTCTGTCTGTCTGTTTGTGTGTTTTAGTCAGAGTTGATCCATTTTAATGGATTAAAGAGAAGTTTGTAAAGGAGGTTAAGTGTTATCAGTTCCACAGTCTTCTCCTTGAATATATGTCTGAACCTTTGAATGAGTTATTTGCTTTCTGATTCTATTTGCTTTCGATTAACCATCTATATTAGATCGTTATAAAACTTATTGTTTATGTTTCCAAACTAACTATATAGGAACCAAAAGCTTAATCTGTCAATCTTTGAGGCGTTCATTGTTTACATCTTAATTTGTACTTCATATTAGGACGTACGTCCACTTTAGTAACAAGTATTGTTTACGCTTTACATTTGTACCTCATATTAGAACGTGTGGCCACTTAAGTAAGAAGTGTTGTTTAGCTTTACATTTGTACCTCATAATAGAATGCAAGTCCACTTTAGTAACAAGTATTGTTTACGCTTTACATTTGTACCTCATATTAGAACGTGTGGCCACTTAAGTAACAAGTATTGTTTATGCTTTACATTTGTACCTCATAATAGAATGCAAGTCCACTTTAGTAACAAGTATTGTTTACGCTTTACATTTGTACCTCATAATAGAACGTGTGGCCACTTAAGTAACAAGTATTGTTTACGCCTTGCATTTGTACCTCATAATAGAACGCAAGTCCACTTTAGTAACAAGTATTGTTTACGCCTTGCATTTGTACCTCATAATAGAATGCAAGTCCACTTTAGTAACACGTATTGTTTACTCCTTGCATTTATACCTCATGATAGAACGCAAGTCCACTTTAGTAACAAGTATTGTTTACGCCTGGTGTGATTCTTTAAAAAATCACCAGGTTAGTACACATCAGTTGAATCTACAGGATCGGCAATGAAGTCCTATTCTTGTAAACTGAATATGGTATGGTCTAAATTTCACAAGGGATTTGTTATAATGTGCTGAAAAAGTTTTACACTTTTTAGGAACGTTGTCACGTTTTGCACAGCATAGAATTGATATACGAAACTAGATAGATTTGTCTACAACATTCTTTGGAGTTAACTGTCTTTTCTTCACGATAACAGTTTCTTGGACGACCTAGAACGACTTGGTAAAAAAGATTATTTGCCTACAGAACAAGACATCCTTAGAACGAGAGTTAAAACTACAGGCATCGTAGAAGTACATTTCTCATTTAAAAACTTAAATTTCAAGTAAGTCTGGCCTGTTTCTTTTTAAAATGTATACTTGTGTATCTTTATCATTGTTTAACAAATCTGAGCCGTATTTTGTGAATGATAAGTGTTTTTTGCGCAAGGAATCATGGGTATTTTAGATCATAAACCTTTAATTCCATTCTTATTATTTTCATCTTCAAATAACTGTTTTGACAAAATTAGTTAAAACCAATAATAAAAAGTGTCACACATCTAGCTTATCAGCTTAAAAAGTATACAAATCAACTTACAAGTGTATGCAGTGATAAGACATCTATATTGGCCAAGTGTACCTCGTCCATGAAGGTAACACTACTCCCAAACGAATGGTTGATAAAAACATGATGACATGTATACAAATCTTCTTCTAAACCTCGCGAATTACATCGTCTATAGCAGTGATTTTCAACTTTTTTTTTTTGGCTCAGGACACATTTGCAAACATTTTTTGGTAGTTGGTCACTACCCAGAAAATAGCTTTAGTGCAAAAGGAAAAAAAAGTTACTAAATTAAAGAGGCCAACATTCGCCAGCGAATTCAACATGGACAATTCTGGTACCTAAAAAATCGTGACAAACTGTCTATATCACTGCTTGGGACCTGCAATAGGGTATCTTTGTCTAAATCACATGTAAGTTAGTTGACATACACATGAAGAGTAGACCAAGAGTTGGCGGTGGGTGGTGATGACTAGCTGCCTTCCCTCTAGGCTTACACTGCTAAATTAGGGACGGCTAGGAGCGCAGATAGCCCTCGTGTAGCTTTGCGCGACATTCAAAAACAAACAAACAGACATACACATGAATAGTTCAAGAAAACCCCAAATTGCACTTTCCTTGCTAAAAAAAAATGGGCAAAAGACAAAAATTCCAAAATTATATATATCTATGTTTGGGACATGCAAATAGTATCTTTGTACCAAATTCTATGTAAATTGGGCGAAACAAGGCTAAGTAATTGACCAAAATCCCTAAAATTATGGGTTTCTTTATCCTTTTGACCCCTTAAAATTACCAAAAATGGGCATATCCTACATTTTTGTATGTATATGTATCGAATCTATAAAAAAGTAACTTTGTACCAAATCCCATGTAAATTGGCCAAAAGAAGGCCAAACAATTGACAAAAAAAACCCTGAAATTATGGTTTTAGTTATTAACATTTTGACCCCCTTTAAATGACCAAAAATGTGCATATCACACATTTTTATAAGTATTTGTATGGGATCTGTAAAAAAAGTATCTTTGTACCAAATATTATGTAAATTGGTCAAAATATGGCCGAGTAATTTACCAAAACCCCCAAAGTTATGTTTGTTTTTGTGAGCTTTGACCCTTCTAAAGAGACTCAAAAGGAACAAGTCCAACTTTTTGTACATCAAAGTGGTAGGCGCATGAAAATTTATATTTGTGCCAATTTTCATCGTGGTTGCTGTAAATATGGTCGCACAACAGCCCAAGATATACATTTTTTGGGTTTTTTGACTTTTGACCTTATAAATTCCTTAAAAAGGCCTAAATCAAAAAAACGAAAAAGCCTCTGAGTCTATTTGACCAAGGTATAACCCTACCATGTTTCAAGTCAATCCGCCAAGCAATGAAGGAATAGCAGTCGATTGAAAAGTGTCTGGAAGAAGAAGAAAGAAATAAGAAGAAACAATAGAAAAACAGTATTGTCTCTCTGCGCAGACTATAAAAAAAATGAATTATTTTCATAGTCTGACTGCAACCATTTCAGACATTCTGACTACCTAATTTTGATCTACGCCTCTTCTTCCACCAGATCACCATCTCTAATATTTTGGCATTAACACGAAATGTCAGGGACAATTGTGTCCCCATATTGTTATTATTTTAGAAGCTACACCTACTCACAAATCATATGCTAAGCTATGCCAGTTATTCTTATATATTAACATAATCTTGTTCAATGACTGTCCTTGTTTTGAAGAATATTTTTTTGCAGTACCGTAGTCTGAAGTAAGTGCGCTGTGGAATTTTTACTTCTATTTATAACCAGTTTACAAAATAAAATATTGCGAACTGGGTAGGATTATCAGAAGAAAAAAATATCATTGGTCGTGCGTGCGCGTGTATAGGTCTGCAATATCAGAAGAAGAAAAAAAAAGCCCTGCCTGGTCGCATATGATGTTCTACCCTTCCAAAAACTACCTTCATTCTAGAGATCCATTTCCGTCGAGACTAATAAAGTACACTGTTCTTAATTCTTGGATACTTTTTGGGACCTTCCATCTTCTGCCTTCCATTGGTTTGTCTTGTCGATTCTTTTCTGGCGGTCATGGCATGGCCAGGTGGTTAGGGCGCTCGACTCGCAATCTGCAGGTCGTGGGTTCGAAACCTTGTCCCACCAAACATGCTCGCCTTTTCAGCTGTAATATGACAGGGAATTCTACTATTCGTTGGTAAGAGAGTAACCCAAAAGTTGGTGGTGGGTTGTGATGACTAGCTGCCTTTCCTCTAGTCTTTCACTGCTAAATTAGGGACAGCTAGCGCAGATAGCCCTCGTGTAGCTTTGCACGAAGTTCAAATCCTTTCTGGTACTTCTTCGACGTTGTTGGACACTGAAACTTTGAACTAGAGCTTTCTCAGATTACATTTTGTATTGGATCATATGTTACTCACCAAATGAAAGTTTCACATTGCTGCGCATTACAAAATTCAGCGCATGTACACGTTATAAATTAAACTTACCTCCTTATAAATCTATACATATAAAACCACTCAATGGATGTATTTTATAAAGCCTTTCTTTTACCAACCTCCACTCAAACTCGTAATGTTCTCCTTCAACGTATCAGCACTTCGATACTGCGGTTTTATCTCTCTATATATAGTTCTAATTTCCTCTCACTTTACCATCATTCATGACGTCTAGAAAGCAGACATTGTTGATGTACATACGGGATATTTTTTTGTACCGAGATCGATCAAAACTAATACAGACGTTTCCGTTGGTTCATACTTCAAACGTAACCCCCGTCATTAGCTTTACTTTAGTCTAGATGATGCGGTGCCTGACTGTCTGGTTTTCTGTTTGTTCTGGAAGGTACACGTGGTTCTGCCGCTCATACAAGATGTAGGTAGCCATATGCTACTTGTTAGTGCTTGATCACTATAAACCGTTTTTGTATAGAATAACCACGTGGGGAGGGGTTGGGCGAAGGAAGAAAACTGAGAAACAAACTTTCATATATCATTCTTTTGTTTTTCTTAAAAAGAATAGAGATAAAAATCTTGAAACATTCATGTTTTAAAAAGTATACAAATGTTTGGTCCTGTTGCGGCAAAAAGTATACAAATGTTTGGTTCTGTTGCGGCACAAAGTTACACAATAAACTATATACGCTGTATCTGCCGTCAGCCGATCGATTTGGTTTGTTTAGAATTTTCGCGCAAAGCTACACGAGGGCTATCTGCGCTAGTTAGCAGCTAGTCATAACCACCCACCGCCAACTCTTGGGCTACTCTCTTACCAACGAATAGTCACATTATAACGCCTACACGACTGAAAGGTTCGGTGGGATGGGGATTTGAAACCGCGACCCTAAGATTGCGAGTCAAGCGCCCTAAACACCTGGCCCTCAGCCGATCGAACCCGGCACTGGATATATCGGATATAATGTGGTTGTTATATATTCTTTACTTACATTATAAGTTCTTAGAATTACTCATGTAGTTTACTTTCCTTGACGCTGCGGTTGTCTGACCCGTTCGGGAAACAACATGACTAGCTTACTGATTCACCAGTTCTTCTGAATGATAAGTTAGAGCTAATTCAAGTAATAATAAATAATAATCATAGATAACTTGTATTAAATAAACAGTATTGTGTTATTAATCATTATTCTAATCCTGATTTGTAAACGACTTGTTTACAAATTCCTAATATCAAATTGCAGTAACAACAGCAACTGTTATGAAATGAACCAGATTAAGTTTGTGAAATGTAATTTTCATATGAGTCGTTCATAAATCAAGATTAGAGTAATTTATATGAGTCGTTTACAAATCAGGATTAGAGTACTTTATATGAGTCGCTTACAAATCAGGAGTAGAGTAATTTATATAAGTCGTTTACAAATCAGGATTAGAGTAACTTATATGAGTCGTTTACAAATCAGGATTAGAGTAATTTATATGCGTCGTTTACAAGTCAGGATTAGAGTAATTTATATAAAGTTATCGTCAAAGCTTAGTTTGTGTTTTGAATTTCTAAAATAAATTTTGATTCTAAATTTACACTATTTGCATGAACTGCGAAACGTCTTTCTACATAATATACCTAGTTCATGTGTGATTAATAACTCGTGCGAAACGCCTCTATATAGTAATATTTAGTTCATCCTCGAACAACTGACCACTTGGCCATGCTTGGATTTAAAAAATATTCCATCATTATTCTTGTGCTGTGTATAATGAAAGGCTTGCCGTTTAAGCAATTTGCACGTTTTGTCCAACACACATTTATGTACATATATTTAGCTCAGGCCTGACCAGCAGTTTTGGTTTTTGAGATCTATTAGTTGAAAAACATATATAACCTGCTCATTTATTCCATGTTATACATTTTGCTTAACTCGTTTCTGCATCATTTATTCGTTTATGTAATTTTCTTCTCCAGGTTATTCGACGTCGGAGGTCAAAGGTCAGAGAGAAAGAAGTGGATCCATTGTTTCGAAGATGTCACGGCTATTATATTTTGTGTGGCAATGAGTGAATATGACCAAGTGCTTCACGAGGACGAGACCACGGTGAGTTGTTTTCAGAGAAAATATTAGGTCGTCAAGAAATTAATGTCGCTTGTTTTTAGATGAAAAAACCCGAACAACTTATATCAAAACAAAACATTTACAATCAGGTTGTTAATGCCCTGATTAAAGAAATCACTTGGCTTTGAAGCAAAAACATGTCGATGTCCTCTTTAACACCTTCCACATTTGCATATGTTTTCCCGTTAAGATGGTTGCAGCGAACGAAAAATATGGTAATCTGATAGTGCCATATCTGGAGAATATGGTGGGTGGGGGAGAACTTCCCAACTCAACTCCATAATCTTGTGTTGCGTCAAACGTGCCACATGTGGACGTGCATTGTCGTGGAGAAGAAGAACACCTTTACGACTGATGAGTGAAGGGCCTTTCTCATGAAGGGCTTGATTCAAACGTTCCAGTTGCTGACTATAGATCTCTACATTGACAGTTCGCTGTGGATTGAGGAGTTCGAAATGAATTACTCCTTTGATGTCCCACCAAATACAAAGCACAACTTTCTGCAGATGGAGTCCAGGTTTTTGGGTCGGAAGTGGTTTTTGTCTAGGACTAAGCCGCTGTTTTTGACGTTTAATATTTGCATAGAGAA